GTGTCAGGTTCTCAAATATGAAAAAGATCATGTTTTTATTCGCTCTTGCATTTACAACCAAAAAACCGCGTGACGCGTTCTTATCACATGACCATCAATGCGGCATCAGTTTGTTTTTATTTTTTGACAAATTTTATTCCTACGAGAAGGTTTAGTTTGTTTATAATAAAAAAATATAATTTGTAATGTTGGTTAAAATGTGGTATAGGTGACACTTATAAATTGACAGATTTTATTAATGGCATTACCTATACCACATTTTAATCGAATACAGTATGTGCCAAGATAATTAAGGTCCGAAGCTTTAACGTTCCACACTAAACCATACGCGTCTTGTCTGTCCGCGCGCGCTATTTATTTAACATGTGGGGTTATTAGCATCGAACTTACAATCCATTTCCTAGTTTATTTTCTACTTCTAGGTTTGATCTTAACCTTCAAGTCTTTGGCACTTCTGACAATTGAAACATTATATTTTACCGGCGAATTCATATCCGCTAACTCGACATCCCAATTTCTGAACATTAAAGCCAACATGCACTTTAATTCTATCATCGCTAGTTTTCTACCGGGACACTGCCTTAATCCACCACCCCACATAATCAGATGATTTTTTCCGTGCTTTTTTTGATCGTCAACATCGATGAATCTATCGGCATCAAATTTTTCCGGTTCATTCCAATAGTTCTTGTTTAGATGAATTCCCGGCGTATAAATCACATAGCATGTACCCGCTTCCCATTCAAGATTATCTATCGAATCGGTTTCAGTGCTGACGCGGCCTACAAATGGCACTGTGGTCATCATACGTAGCACTTCCTTGATCACGGCTTCGCAGTAGATCAGCTGTGACAAATCGTCATATGTGATTGGTCTGTTTTGGTTTTGACCAAACAGATCGTCGATTTCTTGAATCATTCGATTTTTGTTATTTAAATTATGAGCGAGATAATAAATAGCAAAGCTAAATACATTTGCAGTCTTGCGTATTAAAAAAAAAAAATAACGAGCGATCAGAATTATTTTTATAATCAAATATAGACGAAGAGAGCAAATTTACAGAATATATAGGACACTTACTGTATCAATTCCACCTCCTAAGGCTTCTATAATAAGATAAAGTACGTCTTTATCTGACAAAGGTTTCGTGAATTCTTGGTTATCCTTTACGTCTGAAATGCTTCTGTCCGTGTTGGCCGTAATCAATAGTGTTAGCATGTCATATCTCAATTTTTCATCTCTTGGTGTATTCTCAATTTCTTTTCTTCTTTCTCGAATAATTTCGTTTAATTTTTCATATAAAAAACTCTGTGCTTCAAAGACTTCCCTCTGGGCTGCTCGAAAACTGGGAACGAAATTTCTCACCCACCTAGGAACGTATAAAAATGAATTTGACCCCATAATATATTTCTGGAACGCTTTTGATATTTCTGAAGACTCGCTTATAATTTTTTCATTAGATTTTTGCAATTCGATTAATTTAGGTTCAGATGAGATGTTCAAAATATTAGAAACAATGGTCCACATTTTCTTTCCAGTAATCAATTGGAAGATTATATCCGTAGTGAGACTATGTGACCATTCGGTAAAATCGATAATCGTATTATCCTTCAATCCAATCCTCCAGCATTCCTCCATCTCGTTAAATATTGCTTGCGTGTGATCAACGGATTCTTTCAAAAAATTAGACGTTAATATTGCTTGGGTTAGGAACTGTCTGTTGTATTTCCATTTATTGACATTATTGTTTAAAAGAATGCCCTCTCCATAAGTTCCTAAATCTTTTAAGCCTTCAGGATTTGAATCTCTTATCAAATATTTACTTTTGGTTGATGCGGACAAGAGCTTTTCCACATATTCTAACTTTGAAACAAAAATAACACGTTTGTTCCCATACCAACGTTCGTAAATATCTCCATACTTGGATTGCATGAATTGGAGGTATTCACAAAAGTCATTGCCATAGAAGGAGCCATGAAATAGATGACCAATGAAAGGAAGTGGGAAAGGAGCAGGAAGTGGATTCTTTCTTGTATAATATTTGTGATAGTAATTAATTGTGCTTATGAGAAGTAAGGTTAAACTTAGCACAAAAAATTCGTAAACTCCAAAAGAGATTTTAAAAATTTCCATTGTTTACTTTTGAATGGAATGCATGTTGCATGGGTCCTGTATATATATATACTTTGTGCAACGATTATCTTACCATTTTATTCGCACATTTAGTCTCAAAAATTAATTTCTACCCCATGCGAATGTTTATCATTTCCGATTCGAAATAAGTTCTCGATTGATGATAAATTAATTATGGAATGTTATTAATCGACGTAAAAATAAAATGCAACTCAGAAAACGCGTAAAATAAAACCAAACGAATAAACAAAATAAAGAATAAGTTTGCAAATTAAATACATAATTTTGTCGCTTCTTTTGTCTTTATTAATTTTTATTGGCTTTCCGAATTGAAACATCGAGTCCTTTTCATTCTATTAAAGCCTGACCGATTTTTATTAAACCATTTTTTAACAACATATGATAAATTAAACAGATTAAAATTTGAAGGAAATTTTTGCCTTTCTAATACAAAATCCATGACTCATGTTGAATATAAAATTTATGACTCAGGTTGTATACAAAATCCATGACTCAGGTTGAGTACAACACTACAACACGAAACATTGAAACCAGAATATGATTATGTAATCTTAATATAAACGAAATAAAATAACAAATAAATAACGCAAACTTTTTCAAATATTATCTTAATCTCGTAACAGGTAAGTTGAGACGCGAAGTAAGTCACGTGACCGATCGTTTCGACGGGTACCTGTCTTTGTGGGCGGTGCACGATTATATAATTGTAGGGATGAGGGAAAAAATCGAGACAAAAACTATGCAAGTTAGGTATAGCTGCGCCAAATATTTCTAATTGTTCTTGAATATATAGTCGCCTTAACTTATTTAAATTAATTCTATCTACCTCATTAACTGTTACGCGTGACTGCCAACTTTAGCGGCGGGCTCTCTGTACCAGTGATGGAATATGACATGTCATAAAAAATTTAATTTGACTTTGGTGATAGAATCATATTATTATACAGTAAGCTATAAAATAATACAATTAGGATATTAGGATAAGTAATTATATGATTATTTAGATTTAGATTATAACTCAAAAGTTTCGGACACAAAGTTTGTATAGTACAATGGGACAACTTGTGAAACTAAATGAATGGAAGATAGAATGATCTCATCTGACGCTAAAAAATAAATTCCATATTTGTCGATTGTTGATATTACATTTGTGTAAACTACAAGCACAATACTATCATCACCGATCAAGTTTTTTAATATTGTTCTCAGAATAAGAATAGAAAGTGTATTTTACACTGTGTAATTCCTTTAAATCTTTTTTGATTCTAAAAAACCTAATTTATTAATAAATAAATAAAGGGTTTCGGAATTTTTTTGTTGAAAATTAAATCTCTGAAAAAAAAAAATGTATGTTGACCAAGCTATTCAATTCTATGATTGGATGTATGGAGCTGGATTCATGGTAAGCCTCAGATATCACGAATTGATTTTAAGATATTAAATTCTTATCCGTGGTTTATTTTCTCAATGCAGATATACCTTCATAATTTTTTTATATCCATCCTACTATACAAATCTCGTAAAGCAAATGGATCCAACCTCCTTAAAATTATTTACAACTTCACTGGAATGGTTGTATTTATATTTCGATTTCTTTCTAACGCCTCTCCCTACAATTTGACTCTTGAGGCGTGTCAGGCCATGAGCTACATCGCGAATATAACCAATCTTATCAATAAAACCGCTTTGTCCGTGTTTTTATTATGGCGAATAAAACAGATAATGCCATTGGATTACGATAAGTGGATAAGTTTTGTGTTATTAACCTTAAGGGTTACGGCTCACGTGAGTATATAACTTTATTTTTTGTCTATTCTTTCTAATACGTCAATAGTAAAGTTTCATTTCTTTCAAACTTTATGGAAACCATAGGTTGTGACCATAGCGTTCACCAAACCTTTTATATATGTTTTTACGCCTTCCTTATATTCAATCTACAAGTCTTTTAACTCATGCTATACCAATAATGATTCGACGTTCTTACCAGGCGTAATCTATTTGGCAATTGACAATCTGATTGACGTCTATGTTACGATCAGATTGGTCTTGATTCTCCGAAAAGCAAATAAAAATGCCGCTCAAATCAGCTCCAGCATCGACCGAAGATCAAAACGCACATTATTCACAGCGGTCATGTATTGGAATTTCGTTCGTTTAGGAGTGGCTTTCGGAATGAATGCAGTTCTGATATCCTTTTTGTTTGTAAGCAGATATTCGTTTAACCCTAATTATAATGATCTTGCCACCCGTAACTTCTTTCAAAACTTTTTCGCTATAATAATGAGCTATGTGGTGACTGTTGATGCCGAAATAGTAAGAGTCATTGAAGGGGAAAATCCAACAAATCCAAAGACCGGATTAAGCAGTGGTTCAGGAAGCAAAAAAAGTATTCCTGGAACCTCTGGCACAGGCGTGCCTCCCCCTTACAAAAAGTACAGTTCGTCCAAACAGTCTTTTGGCAAAGACGATTTTAAAGTATCAATGAAAAGGGCATCGTTCTTTGAGTGGGCCAACATGGTCGTGGGTTTTCGTAATGAAGATGGCAAAAAACAGGAATTTGAAAATGATGAGTTGAATGAAATTCTTGATGGTCGCTCTTTCAATTCATACTCCGAGAGAGAAAACACAGTGGTGACTGAGGAGGACCAGGAGGATCAACAGTAATTTCTAATATGACCAACATCACTTACACGATATTGTGTAAAAATATTTAATCAAAAAAAAAAAAAAAAGTAATATATTTAGTCTGATTCATTCTCTGTAATATATTTATTCTGATTCATTATCTGTAATATATTTAGTCTGATTCATTATCTGTAATTTAAATGCATTATCTATTTTTCTTTTCAATTATAATATTTTCCGAGTTAGGGTTGTCTATCTAAAATAATTCATATCTCCTTTATTTTTTTTTTAAAAAAAGCAGTCACTTAAAAATCAAATTTAATAATCTGAAGAGGAATAAAAAATTCATGGACATGACCCATCTTTCGGGAAAAAAAAATTCATTTTAAATTTTTGCTTAAAACTTGACTATCAGTTTTTGGATTTGATTAACTAATAGTACGTATTTTGATTATATTTCATGTTTATAATCAAATAAATTTGTTTATTCAAGATGATAAAATATACTAACACTAAAACTTTATATAAACTATAATTTAATACCAAATATCTATCTCTAATAAACAATTATTTTTAAATATTGTTTTTAAATATCATTCTTGTTTTAAAAGTAGATAAGTGTGATTTTTAAAAAAGTTGTTATTCTCGTAATTTCATCGAGCTATCAATAAAATATTTCAAAATATGTGAAAATCTTTATTTGTTTTTTGGTTTTTAAGTAGATAAACATCATTTCTTTATTTTTGTTATTTTTATTTTTTATTACAGATAAACATTAAATGCAAACCTTCATTAAACTGATTGTTTATACTGTATTAACAATTTTTACATATGCAATAAACGAATTGTAGCATATTACAACTTTTTATATGTTAAAAGTGTCGAATAACCAGTCCATTCAAAATTATGATATGATTGCTAAATTAATAATTTTTTTTCAATGAAACTATAATAATTATTTAGAATAATTAAAATACCTTTTTTTATTTGATGCCTATTGTAACATGGAAAAAGATAACACACTTTACACTGAATTCTGAGTTCCCCACGATATTGGGAAGAAAACAGCGGTATCAAGCACAATGAGCCTGATAGAAACTAGCGCAAACCTGAGAAGATGAAAACTGTTAGAAGAAAGTTGGATTACGACACAATCGCAATAATTGCCACATGACTGGGTCGTGCAAGGATCGATCCTGGCACTATGGGATCGAACAATAGAATTATGTAATAAGAATAGCATGAAAATCAAATAGCAATTACTTCGTCATAAAAATTTTTAATAGTTTTTCTTAATTTGTATTTATCATTTTTATTATGTAATAAGTGTGCAAGAATGTATAAAAGAAGAAAGAAATTGAATAAAGAAAGAATAATAAAGTTCTATTAGTAAAGTTTTTTGACCAATATCAATTCTGCCTCACCATAAATAAAACACTTACTATCATTACACAAATTTGAACTTTCCTTAGCAACAGACTCACCGATCACCATTACATTTTTTATGGTGACTGTGAGATTTGATGCATCATTACCTCCCAATATTTTCTCATGAACACATTTCTCTTTAATAACACTTTTTCCAATTCCTATCATAAAAAAAAAAATTGAAAATCTCTTGATCAGAGCAAAAAGACTTACTGACCAAAAGAAGTGCCAAACCAAGTCATCATACTATGAAACATCTAAAAAAAATCCAAGAAACAGAATCCAGTCCAGATTCCAGTATCCTGGCAAGAAAAGCTAATGTAAAGTCTCTTATAATTTTCAAAATATTTATGGTCATCAAAATATATATATATATTATATACTCTTTATTTTTTCTTTTTTGTAATAATAGACAAAATGCACTATAACCACTTGAGAATGTACCTGCAAACCCAAAAGCTACCAACTGCCATGAACGTGACTGATAAATGGAAATTACAAAAAAAAAATAAATTTTACATATATAGGAATGGCATCTTATACAAAAAGAACTGACAAACAAAGAGTTATCTATTATATAAGATTGAATCAATTTTCTTTTTAATATATCAGCATTCGATAGGCGCACATTTGGAAAAGGGGCTGTATTTGAAAAAATCAGCGGAATTTATTATTGGCCTCAAATGTACAACAATGTATGAAAATATGTTGAAAGCTGTAATTAATGTTAGTGGCATGGGAAAAAGTGTGTATCTGGACTATTATGACCTATCCCTATCACTGCTTCTTTTATCAAATCAGCATTTATTTCATAGGACTCTTACCACGAACTTCAAGACTCAATAAAATATATCTTGGTAACTATAAATTACATAAACAAATGGCCAGTAATAAAAACAGTAAAAAGGGCTAATTCCACGACCATT